ATCTTAGTAGGAGTAGATTCCCAACAATACTATTAGGGATTGACCATGATTTTTCCCTAATTGAGATGACTGTTGTCTACTAAAGTGGCATGATCATTTACAAAACAGCTATTACTTTCCTTTGTTAGTCTTCTTGCTCTTTCCTTTTCTATTTCCTTTTGCTTTACCTGTTACTTTGTGGTTTCCAGCAGGTTTGTCTTTATTGGAGGTATAGAATGCCTGAGACTTGTACTGTAACCCTTCTTTGTGGAGAAAAGCATCAGCTTTCTTTGATTTTATTCTCTTATATCGTTTCCTTCTTTCTTTCACCTCCCTCCTTTCCTTGTACTCCCCACCATACATTCTTTTCCTATCAATTTTACTCCATGCCTCTTTCATGTGGTTGGTTACCGTGACACCAATTTTAGGTAGAAGCTGGGAATAGGTAACCTCCATCCCACAGTTGAAAATTAAAACTCCAAGGTTGACACTTAGGCTACTTTCAACTTGTGAGGTATGCTGATCCTTTGGTGCAAATCCCCAAATTACATGATGCAAGCTTTCATTGGCATTCTGTGTTGCACATCTCTCCCATCCACCAAGGAACTTTTCATCACCTAGCTTATCAAAAACTGGCTTTATAACTTCAACAACAGCTGGAGGGATAGGATCCTTGATGCATCGGTGAGTTTTTGTCTTGCAAGCCAAATCTCTCTGATAACTACACCATGATTTCGGGCCAACAGGGCAACAGTCATGTTGAGGTTTTTCTTCAGTGCTTGAATAGTGCAACAATATTGCTTTGGTTGCATTTGACATTGCCTTTGCATCACCTTTATTCTGGCGTATGCAGAGCCCGTAAAAGCTTTGAATTGTGTCAATCCGTGCAATTGTAAGCCGCCCTGCTCCTCCAAGCCCTTTGCCATCTGCTAATTTCACTCCTGAAAATGCAAAGCAATTTGTGATTCCCTCTATTATCATTATTAGATGGATATATAAACTACAATTGAAACCACTAAAATAGAAAATATATTATACATATGTATATAATAAAAATTTTAAAATTTATTTTCAAAAAAATATCTGCCTCCCCCCCCACCCCCAGTAAAGTGGGGTATTCATTACAAATCATGGGAATTCCCTGGAGGGGTTCCTTACAAGTTAAAAATCATGAAAATTCCTCTAAGTAATGAAAATCTTGGAAATTCCATTGCAAAGAGGGCACATTTGACCTTGGAAAGTTTGGAAATTCCAGGGAGGAGTGTCATTCAAATGAGGAGTGTCATTCATTTGTCACTCAACAGGGTGAAATTCTGATTTTTTTGGAGTGGCCCAATATAAACTTTAGGGTCCGTTCATTTTTTAAAGCAGTTGTAATGCAAAACTTATATACAATAAAAAAAAAAATATTCACCTTTGTAATCCCGAATAAGTGACCTAAGGTTGGACCCCATCCTTTTTGTTACATGTGCAATACAATCAACCTTCGGTATGTACACAGTAGGACCATAAGGTTGCTCTATGCATATGCGGCTGTATGAACTACTGTCCCCATCACCAATAAATGGAATGTATCGAATCTTGTGCCTTTCAATTGATCGGGAATAGAGTTTTGAGACCCCAGCAGCCTCCATTGACTATAGAATTAGAAACAATAAACAGAAATATATTTAGTGTAGAATTTGCATATTACAAATATATGCAAATTTAATAGGTAAGTTATAAGTAGCTACTGCCTGCAGGCTAGCAAGCTATTAGCCTATAACAATAAAGCCTAAATTTTTACCCGAGTTTATCTATTTTGAAGGCCAGATATCAGTATGCTTTAAAGAACTTCTTTTAGTCATGATTTAATTTTTTAGACGGATGTGTTTTCTCTACCCACCAATAAATATATATTGTTTAATACAGGTAATAGTGTTTATTATTACCTGAGCGCTCCATCATGGTTAAGAAGACAGCCTGGTTCGTGCTTTATATACCAATCCAGAAACTCAAGCCTTGTCAATTCCCCACGTGCCCGTTTATCGTCCATTTGTTTACAGTGCGGACATGATTTGGTCATGAAAATAACATCAAGAACCTTTCCCGTATCGTCAGATATAGCTGTCACAACTCCGTCTCTTGCAGACCACCCTCTGCTGTTCCAAGAACCGTCAAAACTAGCGGCACAATCAACAATTTTGGATTTCAACTGATCATCAGTGCAATCTGGAACTTCTCCGATACAACGTTTAAGTTTTTTCAGTTCAAATACGGCGTCTTCCATACTAGTCTCGGTCAGTTCTTTTGACTTGGTTTCTAGTTCTTTGGTGTATGAACTCCATGTGGATACTGGCGAAGAAATATCCAACATACTAAGGCATTTCTCTGCTGCAGCCCTGCCTTTCCCGATTGCTCGGAAAGCAGCAACAGAAGAAGCGTTCACCGTATATTTTTGTCCAGAATATTCCGAAATTGGCACTGAAGCGCGTGATAATACATGTGAAACGCATGTCTCGCTTGTACAAATGAAAATCCATTTTGCCCCCAATCCGTGCCTTGAGTTCGCTTTCTCGCGTATGTGTATTGGGCAATGGCAATACTTACAAACTGCTGAATTGTCGACCATTTCTTGTAGACATCCAGGCTCAACAATATAACGTCCAACAGGTGCTTTAAATGCACCATCCTCGCTGTTGTCTAAGTCGGTAAGCGATTCTGACTCCGATTCTGACTCCGATTCTGAAGCTTTTCTTCTCTTCAAGCTTTCCATGCTGTCATTTAATTCCGCTTCACTTCGCGAAGAACTTCCAGCATCTCCAGGATTTTTGTCAGAAAAAAGCTCGGGCCATTGCTTCTCTTGTTCAAAATATGAGCCGAGGTCAGTATGGGAGAGATAACTCTTTCTCTCATCTTTAAAGACACACGCGTCAGTCTTTTTTTTTTTCTTCCCCCTTGACCTTGTGTTGCAAAAAGGATTTGTACTCTTTCTATCAGTTTTAGACTTCGATTTTGGCATTTTAACAGTGATTTTCGATGTAAACAACGTGTCGATGAGTGCGTGTTGTGACAATAAAATGAAATGTACAACTTGACGTGCTGTCAATCACTAATTATATGTTAATTTATGTTAATTCGTTTTCCCGCCAAAGCATATTCATGATTTAGTGATCATAGAATTTGGAAAGCGTTTTACTTGATAACGTGTTCAATTTGAAAGATTTTAATTTGAAATTTTTTCTGACGACAGATCTATTTCCTAGCTACAAGAAAATTAAATAATTTTTTTTTTTAAATTTTAAAATTCTAGGGTCTCCTGTAACCTTAAATAGTATTAAAATAAAATATGTCATTATTAAATACATTTAATATAAAATACAATATTTTTACATAAATTAAGAGCCTTTGATGAAATTGATATAAAATCAATAAAGTATGTCTATTAAATATAGTATATTATAATATAGCATTTGTAAATTCTGAACGCTGATTGGCTAAGAGCCGTGTTGATATAACTCCATGTCAACACGGGAAATTTTCCGCCGCTTGTAAACACGGAAATTTTTCTTATTCTTCGGGCTTTTGACATTGCTATATTATAAAACAAATATAAAACATTTTTTCCGTATTGATATATCGTTATATCAACACTCGTGGAAGTTGGGATAACTCGAAATTGTGTGAAAACACTCCGCCCTTCGGGCGTCGTGTTTCCACACAATTTCTCGTTTTCCCAATTTCCACTCGTGTTGATATAACTGTATATCAACACGGAAAATGTTTTATATTTGTTAATTATAAAATAATTTATATTTTATAATATACTATATTTAATATAATATTATGTATGGCATGGACCCCTCTTGCATTGAACAACCACACAGACACTCATTCACGATCAGGATTTTCTCATTTGTAATTGAAAGATGCAAGACATCACTCACAATTTTTGTAGATTTGTACAATTAACGGTACAGTCTTTCTCGCATAGCCTTTCGCCTGTCTTTGTTTATACTCTGTATATAATTAAATCTCGTATATAAAACTATAAAATGTCCCTTCGGCTTCGGCGATTCCAATCTTTAAATAATCCAATGTCCAATTTTGTGCAGCTTTTTAATACATTGTGACACAACATCCAACATTTTTTATATTAAAAATAAAATTTCCATTGATAGACAGCAGATTTCAACGACCAAAACGACTCTTCGTCTTCTTTGAAGAGTTAATACACTCCTATCTACTCCTATAGTCAGCCATATTTATTAGTAAAAGTTCGTGTTCAATTTCCGCATTCCATTGTTTTCATGCGACCAATCAAATCACTTCTCATTTTGGTTTTCGCCAGGGCCTCCGGCAACGCAGTGTCAGCCATGAGGCGCTGGGACCGAGGATGGTACGGCCTGGGAATCGACAACCTCGTACCCAGGGCTTCTGCGCTTATTGCTCTCAGAAGCCCTGGGATAACCCAAACCGGAACACCATAGAACATTGATGCCCCCGGAAGCGGAAGTAAACAGTAGCTCCAGCTAAAAACGCTGACTGGGCATATTTTTACGCAAGGAGTGAGAATGGATTATTTGTTGCAAGTTAGGATATATTTGGACTTGTAAAGACGTCTTAATTAAACTGCTTCTCGCGTGGCTTTTGGAATTTAAAGTCAGGAATGATCAATTTAGAGATACAATTATGCGTAAACTAAGCCCTTTGGCGAGCAAAAGAACATCTTATATCGCGACAACAGCATACCTTGTCAGCGATATACAGGGGCTATTCAATAATTAAAGTATAAATATTTATATTCGAGTACAACCTTGGTCATTTCAAAATCAACAGACTAGAAATCTTACTGGTAACATGGCTGGCTGCCGATTATCTTGGATTTGAGGGTTTTGAACAAGATATTGCAAGATTTAATTATAAATATACAAGACATACTGTACTGTAAACATGCATCTACTTGAAGAATGTAAAATGAACAGTGATGAGTGATGTAATATAATTCTGTACTTTAATATTTGGAAAACCTTTTTGGCAAATCTTGAGAATAATGGCTTTGGGAATCAATGTTGAAAATTAAAAACTGTCAGATAGCTGCATGGACAGCATGGTTAGAAGCATGCATGTCATCGGATGAAACTCCAGTATTGGAATGAACAGTGTTATAAGAACCAATGGTGATGAACTAATTTGGGTTTATTATAAAATATTGTATATCATTTAGTTCTGGCCATTAACCTTACCTATTAAGTTATACATTGTGTCTTACTTTTTATTTTACTCTGGTGTGCACCCCCGCCCCAGGCTCTGGTCAACAGGGGTGCATGGGGAGGGGGGGGGGGTGTACAAAAATTATGTTTATCCTAATTCTAACCAACTTATGTTAAGGAATTCAGTTGGGTATCACTATAGTTGACAATAGTGGAATAGCGAATATTAAATATTCTGAATTTTTAAATGTTTTGAGAATCTAAAAATTTTCCAGGATGTTTTCTCAGAAAGCTGGAAATCCCATTTCAGAAAAATTTTCCGTGGTAGTATGCCCCCGGACAACCCTAGAAATCTCGCGCCTTTGGCGTTCGTTTCGCCATTGGTTAGCATCCCCCAAAAAAACTTTGCTGGATCCACCACTGCACCAGATGATTTTATATGTTGGGATAGATCATTGGTGTTCAATGGATTATCTCATAATACACACTAGTTTGTTAACCTACTCTGTCTAATCATGCTAACACCATCATTGGCAATGGAATTGAGCAGTGATGTAGCCAGAATTTCAAATTAAGGCCTTCAAGGGGGACTGAAATCCCCAGGAGGAGCCTGCACTAGTTTGAATAAAGTTTGTTAGTATGTAAAAATATATTTGGACTCCCAAGCTATCCATGTATAATATAGTACAATGTAGACTTTTTAAATTCTAGTTAATAAAGTGCCATTTTGGGGGGCTATTTTAATGTGTTTTGGTGATTTGAAATAACCTTGCAGTTAACACATGTTCAACTCTAATTAATTACAAACAAGTTCAGAACATTTAAAATATTTTGACCCCCCCCCCCAACCCCTCTGGTTACACCACTGGAATTGACTTGAGCCTTTTAGACCTCTGAATTTTAGTTGCAACTTAGAACAGTGTTCTGACATACAAGAAAATTGTAAGAAAATTTAAAATTTGTGCAAAAGCATTTCTCAAATAGGTCGTTCCAGAAAATATCCACACTCCCCCCACAGAGGAAATTTCTGCCGTTCAGAGGGGGAGGGGGAAAAATTGTTTCTGATAATAGTAAATGTATTAGGACATCCAAAGGGGTAGAGGGATTAACTTTCAATTTCCTCTGTGGGAGTGGTATGGGTGTTTTCTGGAATGACCCAATATAACTGTGTTTTTTTTTTCAAATCTAATCAAACTGTCAAATTGTCAATCCTTGTACATGGGGAGGGGAAATTTTGGAGAAAGAAAAATTGTGACCAATCAGGTTGGGGGTCCACCTGTAGGCCTGGTCATAGGCGTACAGGGCTGGACTCAATTGTTGGGCAGACTAGGCTAGTCTGGCAATATTTACTTCACAATTGGGCAATATTGGCTTATTATAAAAATAAATAGGAGAAATTATTCCCTCAATATTGGGGGAAATATGCTATATAATGGTCGAAAATTTAGTTCATTTTGATTAATAGTCATTTAATATATGTGCTATCAACAGTTTCTTTATGGTATTAAGTAACAGATTACAATGTTTGTACATTAGAGATTTAGAGGCACTAAAACTGAATAATAAATAGGCACTAATACAAACTCTGAGCCAGTGCACCCAGCATCCTCAAATTGGGAATAATTTGTAAATTTAAATATTTGTGTATAATTCATAATTTATCCTATTCCAATACAAAATGCAATAATATAGAACACACAATTTATCAAATAAAGGTAAAAAGGTATTAAAAACTTTATTATGTAATATTTACATTGAATGTCGTGGTTGAAGTTGTAGATTTATACTTGAAATTTCAATTTTCGAACGAGAAATGTTTCGCTTTATGTTAATTTTTTTACTCTGTTCGCCATTCTTGCTTATTTACAAATACAAACAGTCCATTTCTTCTTTTGCTCTTTTCAAAATAGCTCAGAATTTGATTTAAAAAAGTATTTTCATGCAAAAACCAGCATTTAACTTTTGTATACACTCCTTGAGTCCTTGTGATAGCGGACATGTTGCCAAAATATCACCCGGTTAATGAATAACTTCCGGTACTTTCATTGTATTCGCATTGACCAATCAAATAACGTTCTGAGTTGGATTATCCCAGGGCTTCTGAGAGCAATAAGCGCAGAAGCCCTGGGTACGAGGTTGGGGAATCGATCGAATTCGCATGGTTTAATGGAAATATTAATGTTAGGTTTTTTTTATCAAACTGCGGAAATTTGAAAAAAAAAACACCCAAATGTTTAGGCCCGGTAACCCGGGGATTTTAACAATTGAACAAGATTTTTTAGCCGGGGTTTTAACATCCATGAAATGTTAAAATCCCCGCATAGTCCCGGGGGTCGGGATTTCAATTGACTAGTGCATTACGCGATTTAAATCAATGCTAGAAGCCTAGAAAAGCGCTGCGACTCAAATGGCGGATTAAAAGCGGATCAAAACAAGCTTAAAGCTTCCGGTTTGATTAGCTAAGAGAAAGGCGGACGTCTGCGAAGACGTCACATGGATAACACACAAGACATGTTGTTTATTTTTGTCAAAATAATTTCATTGATTAAAAGAGTTGGTTATCTCGGTTATTTTGTGACGATTCTCGGTTTCGGTTATTTTATGAAACCGCATCACCCTAGCATGAACTTCGCAACAAAGTTCGCAAGTACATTTCAATGTTTGAACTATTGTAAACAAATGTGCATAGTTCAAGTTGAAATTAACAATTCAATGGAAAGTTCGTGGTTCAGTGGGCTACCAGGGCTTCAAATTTGCGGTATCCCGATATCCCGGCGACACCAGATCTTAAATTTGGATACTGCATGGAAATCACAAGTTCAGTATCCCGACGGATACTGAAAAAAATTCTGTCATTCATTAAATTAATTTAAAGTGATTGGCTGAAGTTAATTACCATATCAACGCAAACATTTCATGCCACGCTGTCAATTGAAATAGCTCGTCTTCATGCATTCATATTTAAAATACGTTGGTAAAATGTTAAGATACATTATACGAACTGAGCAAACAAAAAAATCTACCGAGACACAGCAAATATTAACTGATGAACAAGTTGAAGAAAGACCACAGATTGAAATAAATTATCAAGTGAACGAAAAATGTTTTACAAATGTGGGATACAAGATTTTCTGGGTAGATACCGGATTTTAAGTTGCTAGTATCACGTTGGATACTGCTGAAAAATTCAAATTTGAAGCCCTGTGCTACCAAGAAGGTTTGTATTTCATTGAATTGGTTATTATTACTGAGTATGAACATTTGTTTACAAACAAAGTTCAAACATTGAAATGAACTTGTGAACTTTGTTGCGAAATTCACATCCAATTTCCGAACTTGGAAACGTAATTGGCAAGAATAAAGTAAAAATCTTCTGGCGTTAGAGAGCGTAAAATACTAAAGTAGGGCGCATCGGGGTAGGATTAATTAACAGAATATTGCAAAAAGCAGAATTTGACAAAAATCCTTATATGATTTGAGCATTTTTTGTTCGCTACATACATATATGTAGCCTCCTGCGCAGACGTTGTTAGTGGCTGAGGCCTCACTAGCCTGCGCGGCAGGCGGTATTCCTACAGGCAGCGAAAATTAGGGAGGCAAAGGAAATATCGTCTGCCGCAAAACTAGGGGGTTTTGAATTACCCGTCCGCTGGCGAACGGGAAAAACGGATTGGTTAGTATTTTTATGTAGTTGTCAATCAACGACTAAATTCGGTTAAATGTTAATCATTAACCAAATGTTTTGACGTTTTGAAACTCTGCGTTTTGAAATTAGTTCACGTCAAGTCAGACCAGAAATGGAATAACATAATAAAAGAAGCAAATTAAAAGATACAAGCTGAAAAATAACACTCTAAATAGTGTTTTTGATAGAGATTCGAACAAGAATATTTAACAAAGAAGATACGTCCGAAGGGGCCGAAGTTATGATCGGCGAAAGGTATGGGCTAGTCTATATTTTCGTTCAGACAATTACATGCGTATTAATTTGATAATATACGATCTCGCCTGACTTTCAAAGGCCATAAATCGCAATAATGTTGACATTTTACTAAAACTATCAATAGAAATTAGGAGATACTTCTTCACTGAATCGAACAGTGGGATTTTCATATAGGCCTATCATTTTCTGAACCAAAGATACTTGATAGATATTATATACGAACCTCCAAAGTATAAACAAGGGGCCGGTTGATGCAGTAATTATCAAATAACAGTTAAACTCTTATATACCCGTTGAATATGTATAGTTGTAAACAAATAAAAACTATCGTTCTATAAGGTTCAATACTTTCAGTTTGGTTGTTGACTGATGATGAATCTATAGTATAGACTTGCATGCTTTGTATTTTGAGCTTATCTAAACCACCGTTTTAAGGCAGCTAAACGGGCGGCTTGTTTTATATTAAAGGCTGCACATAAAATAAATTCCTTGATTCTCATCACTAGACACAGTCTACACTTTGAAATGTCGAAGACAGTGGGAGATTTATATTTTATATTTATATAATTTATATATCAATAGTTCGTATCTCCACGAACAATGACAGAATGACTGAATTTCTTTAAAATACAATGAAATTTCATTCAAAATTCTGTTTGTTTCAAATTGGAAGTTTAAAATGGCAATAAAAACTCTATATAAAATATAAAAAAATTAACTGTCTTGAATTATTTTGTCGGGCGGTACATTTATATTGTATAACGAAATATAAAACGTTTTCACGAGAATTTTAAAATTCAGTCGGGCGGTGATGATCATGAGAATCAAGGAATTTATTTTATGTTGGCCAGTTGGGACTTGGGAGCAGCTTGGGAGTGGCTAATTTTGGAATATTTACTTAATTAATGCATCTATAAATAGCGTTGATGCTTCAGGGGTGGTAGTTCATTTACACCCAGTTTTGCTGCAGGCGGTATTTCCTAAATACCGCCTGCACCGCAGGCTAAGGCCTCACCTAACGTCTGCTCACATTCGCTATACATTTGACTTCCCGGCAATTAACCAATCACAATCATCTACACGATAATTGGAAGATCGGCTTCAATGACCTTCACACGCATGGGCTATTATCAACAAGTCTGTAGTATTTTTAAATTTGAAAGTCGATTATAAACAAAAAGGATGTTTTGTAAATCTCACAACTAACGCAGGAAATCACTTATTTATCACGCTGTTGCCGAAGCTATTCGATGTAATATTCGGATTTAAATATTTAAACAAATTGTAAACATTTAGTAATCATGGTTTCACCATTGATAAATTCAATACGAGATCAAGTAAAAAAACTACACGATCTAGGAGTCAGTGCTGTGTCATTATTATTTTAAGTTGAATCGATAGCGATAAAGAAGCGAAGGCATTGGAAGAAGGGAAATATTCTGACTGTATTGTATGGCACAGCAGAGTCATTGTTGAAGACAAAATGTATGGCAGAACGGTTTGTGCTTTGCCTTTGGCTATTGATGCACGAAGCTCATTTCAGTATGTATTATAATAAATCCTAAACATGTGTTCGCATTTGTAATTCTCAAAGCCACAGGAATCGATCGGCTTTGACCATTTTAATAGTCGTTATTTTATATTGTCTTGAATTTTTCTTTTTATACGTTGCCTCGTAATTATCTATTGCATGTAGTACTAGCAAGTTTATGAGCCATTCTAGTTAATATACATACCCCAACCCTCTGATGTAAACCCTTCATAATTGAAAGGCTCATATAAACTAGCATGCTTGTACTACATGCAATAGATAATACGAGGCAAGGCGTAAAAAAATAATACCTGTGGTTCCGGTAATATATCGTGAAAAAATTAGGGTCGGTAGGTCAGAAATAAAATTTTTTTGAATATTTTTCCATGGCTTTGGCGGTTTTTTGCTGGGCGATTTGCAGAAGTCCCGACATCAATATTAACTAGAGATGCGTATTTCCTATGGACGAATTTAGGCAATTTGGTTCAATAATTAGTGCGACAACAGACACTATTTTGGCATGCTGTATGAGCAGCCTGCAACCACCTGGAGCAAATAGGGTCGCACGGTCAATCGCGTTGAAAAAATAATAGAGTCGGCAGAAAAAAATAGGGTCGGTCGGGAACCGGAACCACAGGTATTTTTTTTTACGCCCAATGTATAAAAAGACAACACTTTGTTGAAGCATTCGTCTCAGACCATCGTTCGGTCTTCAACAATGACTCTGCTGTGCCATATAATACAGTCAGAATATTTCCCTTCTTCCAATGCCTTTGCTTCTTTATCGCTCTCGATTCAACTTAAAATAATGACACAGCACTGACTCCTAGATCATGTAGTTTTTTACTTGATCTCGTATTGAATTTATCAATGGCAAAACCATGATTACTAAATGTTTACAATGTTTACAATTTGTTTAAATATTTAAATCCGAATATTCGGCAACGGCGTGATAAATAAGTGATTTCCTGTGTCAGTTGCGAGATTTACGAAAACACCCTTCTTTTTGTTTATGATCGACTGAAAAGCCTTTTTCTGATGTGCAGTGTTAAAACTTTCAAATTTAAAAATACTATAGACTTGTTGATAATAGCCCATGCGTATGAAGGTCATTGAAGGCCGATCTTCCAATTATCATGTAGATGATTATGATTGGTTAATTGCCGGGAAGTCAAATGTATAGCGAATGTGAGCAGACGTTAGGTGAGGCCTCGGCCACTAACAACGTCTGCGCAGAAGGCTACATATGGGGGGGACACTACGGTATCTGCTGTCAAAAAAAACACACTCCCCCTATGTAGGAAACTTCTGCCGCCAAGAGGGGAAAGAAGAAAAATTAGTTTCTAACAATAGTAAGTGGGTTAACTTCCAATTTCCTCCATTAGGGAGGTATGGATGTTTTTCTGGAATGACCCATTTTTCATGGCAACATGCGGAGGGGTACAACTTTGATGTTATTGACAAGTCTATTTTATGATATCTCTCATAACTAGGAAAATAGGACACAAATGATCCTAAACCTAAAAGCAATGACACCAAATGTACATCATGTACCATTTCTTACCGAAATGTGCATAAGAATCGAAATAATAGTCAGCACTTGTCATTTGCTCAGAGGGCAAATTTTTATCGTTATTTGTTGTATTTTCACATTCCCCGTTAACTTTGATCTTGGATGGGGCTTCCTGTAATGAAAAAATAACACATAGAACTATATATTGGTATTTTCTGCAAGATATAGCCAAAATAATGATAAAATACTCACCTCTAAGCGCGGAAATTTTGTTTCAACTGCCTCCATTTTGCGTTTCATAGTTTGCCGTTGCACGTGCCGAGTTTATGAGCCCGCGATATTCGAATTAAAATTTCAGGAAACGTCATGTAGATATTATGTACATAAATGAACAGCTCAACAGCTTCGAATCAAAGGCCTTCGAGGCCGACTCACGGATGAGATCAAATTAATTAAAGGGGGATATGATTTACAGCAGTTTTTTACAAATGGGAACCGTGCAAGGGCAAGGACATTATTTGGTAAAACACGACATAATATAAAATGTTCCCGAAGATCTTACAGGTTTAAAGTTTAATTTTAACGACATCCTCGATTTTAACAACAAGGGACCGGTCATTAATTATGGAAGGGGGGAGGGGAGGAAAAAATAAGGGGGGGCATATGTAGAAATGACTAAAAGGGGGGCTATTAAATTTTTTCAAGAAAATGACAGGGGGTGTTGCAATTAAACTTGAAGGAATTTGCTTAATAACCTGGTATCCATTTGGTTGTAAATGTTGCAACTAAATCATGGTCACTGATGTGAAATAGTCTGGATTCATCTTGTCTTGTGTGTGCTGTATGCAAATCAGTCTTTACGGATTGCAGACTAGTTAAATTGACAATGTATTATTACATCGGCTCTTGATGTGGTTAAATACATTTAAATTAAGCAAGGTTAACGGCGTTTGTATTATGCAGGCCACATCCGCTGCGAGGAATCTGTGACGTCATATCGATCAAAGGGGGTTGTTTCATGCCTTGTGATCAGTGCTTCGGTCTGGGTATTCATTCTACCATTGTATGCTTTGCCTAGCTGCAGCAAGTTTTGCGCTTCGATACCTTTTCCCGACCCACCCACCCACCCATGTTCATTCTAAAAGATTTTATCTGGTAGCTAGTA